TGGATATGATGAAATAGTATAGAAAAATGCAGTTTCATTTTCTCTATCTTTCTGTAAAAAAAGAATTTCGTCGTAACCAATTAATAAGGAAATAAGATAGGGACGACATTACTTTTGGATACCCCTATGTACTTCAGAAAAAAAGACTTTTGTTTTTCAATTCTTCAATTTATGAGAGATCCATACACCTAACATAGATAATGTATTTTATCCAACAAACGTTGGATTCAGCGTTGCCATACAAAGGAGATACCAGTAATGGCCATATTTTGCCAATGCGAATTTTTTTTGGTAACATAGATTATTATTATTATGAGGATAAAAGATTATAACGTTTGCCGCGTACAAATTTCCAGTTAACAAAGAAAAGATAAGTGGTGGAAAGTGGTCGTAGACGTATTGTCGAATAAATATCACACAACTTGTCGAAATTGGTAATGAATAGAAAGTTTATGTGATTTGTAAAAAATGCACTATATTTAGGATCGTTAGATGAAGAGTTTATTAAATTTATGAAAGAAGTCTCTTGGCTGCTGTCATGCTCTGGTTAATTTGTCATGATCTTTGTTTTAAGTCGTTTCAAACACGAATTCAACTCTTTTTTGTATAGTGGTGATGGCCATACAAAGATGATAAGTGTCGCTGTAAGTGGAATAAATGATATAACATATCCAGCTAAATACGCGTACGCCTGCCATGGGTATTTCATGCAAGCAAATGCAAATGTAAATATGAGACGAGGTGATGTTAGTAGGACAAGCACAACAGGACTGATTAAGAATGGTTTATACAATAGAATTTGTTCTTTCAATATTTGTCCATATCGTTTATCAGTAATTGTTGATGATGATTTCCAATATGTTAACCTTAGCAGAAAAAAAATTGTCGAGGTTACATTTATAAAAAATGGGATGATCAAATGAAGTAAATTGATCATTGTTTCATATCTTTCGGTTAACAAAGAACTGAACGTCATAACACACCAGGATGAATGTGTGCTGTCAGTGATTAACTGGCGAGCGAATAATTCGTTTATCGTACTGACAATAACAAAAATAATGTTGACAAAAATCACATATTTAGCTATATTAATACTATGATTTTTATCAAACTTGATACCTCTGATAACAGTTACTGCACGCTCGATTGCAATCAAAGCTGTTAACCAGTCGTAGATGCTGGGTAATATTGTTGATAAGAATTCTAAAATGATACAAGCGGCAGACGACATTTGTGCAAATAGCAAATAGATAAATCGAACACTGAATGAAAATAGTCCAAATTGTCCAATAATGGTTAGAGTTAACATGCAGTATCCACAGCCACTTTCGCAAGTGGTTCGTTGACAGAACGTCATTAGCGACAATAGATTACACATGAAACCCAATACGCACATGACTAAAACGATAGTAAATGTTATTTTTATGACAAGAGGCTGCATAGATATTGATTTGTCTGATTGGACGTCTTGACAAAGCAAAATATCTAGTGAAACCGAATAATGTGACTTTGTCAATTGACATAAATTTCCAAAGTAGCAATTATGACATAAACACGCAAAATCAAATACACCATGACGACTATGTTGTATACAGCGAGCCTTGTTTTGACAATATCTGTTTATCTCGTCGGTGCAGTTCGTTCCACCATGATCATAAACGAGACAATCCGGCTGATTTTCATTATCACAAAAACACATGCATAATTCGTCATGAAAACAATTTAGATTTGAATTTACGAGACAAATTGATCGATAATATTTAACGCGCTTCAAATGGGAATATTTAGCTACTGTAATATTCAATAAATTCTTCACATGAGGACAATGATAGGATGATCTGACTGTTGTGTTAAGTTCAATGATATACGAGTTTTCCTCAATAAATACAATCAGATAATATAAACCGAAATAATCGACTGCATTGAAAAACATTTGTACAAAGACAAATGTCGATATATGTTTCTGATGTTCATTGATGACTGTCAGATGACTATTAAGCGGCACATTTTTGAACAAATATTGGTTTTGATGGCACATAGAACCGTCATTTCCTTCTTGCGTAGCGAAGTGAACAATAACCACTGGAGCTGATTCATAAATAGACCAGATTGATTAAAAAATATTTCCAAACGAGCAGCTTTATTTTGACAACGTTCACCATAATATTCTTTATCACACACACACACATGCGCCAATGTTCTCTCATCAGTTGCGATACAAGTGCCATTATTCATACAACGAATAGAATACTCTCTTGAACATGGCTCGTATGGTACATAACAATCCGCTCCTATTCTATTTAGCGGGCACACACATTTTTCCCTTGACATACCCTTACGATATATACAGTGCGAACCGTTCGCGCAGGTACAATTTTTTCGTATATCACAATGATCACCAAACCAACGGGGATCACATGAACAGTACGTGATGTCGGTGTTCATGTACGATTGACATTTTCCACGTCCACATGCCATTGATTTGCAATTACTCTTTAGATATCTTTCCGGTAACGTTAGTCGGACGGCAAGTCGATTAACTGGTAAGAATTGAAATGGAATTATATATAGCCAAGCGGCTAAGAACTGAATATTGTTATGTATGAGAAACGAGTCTATTCGAACAGAATAATTAAATGATAATGATCTTTGCTTTTCCCGATAGATTAAATAGACAAAATGTTTACTGTCCGACACAGCATAAGAATTATGAACAATTTCTTCATGATCAACAACAAGCGTGCTATTTTCAAGCAGATACAAAACGAATTTAAAATCACTAGTGCTGGTATACGATTCTGGTGTGTCAATTTGTAAAATTACCGACACTCGTTCACTTTGATGCTGGCATCTGTAACCGTAGAAGCCCATGCTTCAAGTACATCCATGAAACATGAAGACCTTGCTGTCTTTTAATCATCTTGTAGGTGCAGCAGATTAGTTCAGTCCCAGCGTACTGGTGATGATGCATCCCTTTAAACGAAAAGAAGATCCGTACAAAAAAGGTTGCAATACGGCATCACACGAGTTTATACACGTTTTTCATCTTAAGTCAGAAGACTATTAGATCTAAGGTTTATTTATCTTCCGCATATTTCGATGAATATTTGATGATCAATATTCCAGCGAAAACAAACTTGAAGAAAAATGTAATATATCGACTGAAGTAACAGATGAAAAAGTTGTGTGTCAAGTTGATTTCGCCGAAAATTATGGACCACTAGCCTGTATATACTTCAGCCTTATGTAGAACTAGATTGTGATAACCAAGTTTTAGAATTCACTAGTGTTTTCATATCCTTTGTCGTGCTAGCCTGACATATGCCAACACAGGAGCAACACATTAATCTTTTATTCTTACGCCGTTGCGATGGTCAGTATGCGTTTACATATAAAAATCTAAACATATGTTACTGTATCTTTCTGAATTTAAACATTCTCTAAGCAACATTCAGAGTTTTTTCTACCTGTTTATTTTTATTCTATTTTTATTTATCAATCCCTTTTAGAGTATACGCAAAATGTAAGACATTCGCGCGCATGATTTTATTAATTAACTACAGTTCTGTTTTCAAAAGTTTTTCGGACTTTCACAATTAATTGTCCGCCCTCCTCTTCTGTGTGTGACTATTCAGTCCACGTTCGATGAAGATCATTGATGGATGACCGCTAATAGCTTGGTGGACACAAAGATTTCACAGCTGTTCGATCAGAAGTTTCAATGAGTATACCACGATTGCAGAAAAAGGCAAACATTGAAATATTTACTTTTTCTGTGGGATAACTGCGAGTTCGAAAATGTGTCGTTTTCCGACTTAGTTGATATTCATTATATAGATCGAACAGAAAAGATTTGTATATCGTCCTTGATTCAATGTCGCAAAACCATTCGTCTTCGCCACTTGGCTCACAATTAATGACATCATCACAACGTTCAAGCTCATCAACACATAGTTCACCATTCATGCAGCTGAACTCGCCAACAGCACAATTAGCATAAAGTCGCCAGGGACAAATGAATTCGTCATCGTCGAGCGGACAATCCTGATATCCGTTGCAAACATCCTCGGGACGAATGCAAATGGAGCTGTTCTGACAACGAAACCGTCTTCCCACTTCCATCGGATAGGTTTTTGCACAATGACCCAGCCGTTCATCAACTGAACCGACACAATCACCGTGTCCATCGCCTGCTCTTTCAACTGACAGACAATTAAATATCCACATATTTTGTTCGAATAGAATACAATAATGTTTTGTTCCATTACACTTGTTATTATTAAACGCGAGAATTGATGATTCTGGATCCACACAATTGTACAGTTCATCGATACCATTTTCGCAATTCCAGAAACCATTGCACGATGTGTAGCGCGTACTACAAGGCCATTCAATGCAATTTGATTCATCTGTTTCATTATCAATTAAAAAATGTGCACTAGTTAGGCCGTTACATATTTCTTGAAATGTAAATGATATCATTGGCGCATATGTACCACGCAAAAATTGGCAACCAAGATCAATGGGATAAAAACAAGCGTCAGAATACGATTCATCCGAACCATCTGAACAGTCATATTTTCCATTATTAATATTATAACGTATTATACATTCAGTTGTCGATGTCAGACATTGATAACGGTATACTCAACGAACATGTATCGTTGTATAATTCATCAACCTCCAAGTAACAGTCAATAACATTATCTTTTACGCGATATCTCGATATATATTTATTTGAGACTTCACATACAAATAGATCAATTGATTTAACGAGGATCGATGGCGAGTTACATGCAGAAAATATTAATTGCAGTTCGGTAACAAAATTCTTGATAAGTTTTATTTATTAACCTTGTAGTTTGAATACATAGATAATTGTTTAATTTTTTCGTATGTAGTGAATAGATGAATGTATTATTGCAAAAATTTGGATCGTAGCAAATGAAGTTGGGTAGAAAATATTCATTAATACTGTCTTTGACGTACAATAAACGTATATACGGGAAAATGATCGGAGTCGATGGAAAGAAATACGTATCATTACATTCTCGCCATATGAATAGTATACAATCATCGTACGAACAGAGTCTTTCACATTTAACGTTGTCAAATAGATCGCTTAACCCGACAGCACATATCATATATTTCCAACATAACAATGATATCTCATTACGCTCTTGAATTTGAAACGTTTTCTTCCAATATTCTAACTGACGCTGGCTACCCTCACATGGATACATTGGACTTTTAGTACACTGTCCATCACCGCACGAAAAAGTTAAATAACCACAATTATACTCTTCGCATGCAACTGACGGATTCGATGAACACTCGTCAAAGTCAATATTGATAGTAGCCATGTTCTTATGAAACAACTGATCATCGCTGTTATCTTGACAATCATGAACAAAATCGAACGCAAAACTTTTTGGCACACACATACCGTTACGGCAACGATACTGTGTTTCTTTATCACAGTTATTCATCTCAAGCTTCCAGCAATGTTCTTCATCGGATGAATCAAGACAATCTAGAATTCCATTACATATTTGCCGCCAATCCAAACATATAGTACTACCATGACACTGACGATTTGTCAAACATGTTAATATATCAATACTATCCGGTGAATGATCATCTTTCAATCTAAATCGTTCATTAACAATTTGAATAAAACGTTGATGATATGAATCTGTGCGCGTCGAGATAAAATACTCGCAGTGTTTGCCAAACGTTTTCCTATTTGAGCAATTACAATAGTAACTATCATTGAAAGAGTAAATCCCATCGATCAAAAATTTTTCATATTTATCAATAGTATCAATAGGCGAATACCAGTTGAGCAAATCTTTGCCAGTCACATTTAGCAGTTGTAAATCATTAAATGAATATTGCATGTTCTCATCCTGACATGATTCAAATTGATTACTATTGTTTTCGACACTTTTTTCATCTGGTCGAATACAATAGGGTACAAGCTGCCAAACTGATTTACTACGAATAGAAAACAAAGTAATAGTCATACGTACACTCAAGCAAACATTACAATTACCGTTTGTTTTGACGTAATACAGCATCTCTTGTTCGAGTATCCATGTATAAATAGAAACAATCATAATACTCTTGATTATTAACATTTCGATCCGTAAAATATAAGTATGAGCTTATCGAATTTGTTGATTCTATCAACATCAGTATAGCTGTACACATAAAGTATTTCTTGCTTGATGAAACGAGAAAAAATTCCATTTTAATATATCTGTGAACAAAACATTTGATAGTAAGAGTAATATATAAGAATGTCTGCAACATGAGCGGAGATACTTTTAAGCAAAATGAATTTGGTTTAAAGAAATTGTTTTTTCTAAATATTGATGTTTCTAAATATTTGATTCTTTATTCATTGGCGGTCCGCCAGCAGAGCAATTACGGGTAATTGCTCCTCCTGACAAAAAATATCAAGGCCTGTGAATAATTATATTTCGAAATTATATATATATTTTTTTTATATATAGTTTGTGTATGCACTACTCTAAAAAATTTATTGCCCCCCCCCCCTAAAAATATTTTTCCCGCCCGTCCATGGCTTTATTCAATTTTACGTAGAAAAATCGAAAGCTTAGATCTCGAAATGAACGAGTTTTGATTTTTTATCGAAAGCTCTCCGAAAGATGTCTCAAAAATAAGCAGAATGTGATTTTCTAGTTCTTCAAAGTTATCTTAATAACGGAAAACAATGAAAGTTTGATAATGCATTTTTTTGTGTCAGATCCACTTTTCCTGTACGACACTCCTGGTTACTCTGATGGTACACTTGAAACTAATTTTTGACAAAGCTATTGGCACTTTAAAATATTACATATCAGTATTGCTTTCTTACTACACCTACTGTGAACATGTTTTTGAACCTGCGACAATCGTTTTCATCAAAAGCAGGTGCTCAGAAGAAAAGTTCGTGGTGCGTTTCACCAGAGCAACAACACAATATTTCTGATAAAACATTATTATTATTATTTTTATTATCAGTTTTTAATCAGGCGATGGACGACAATAGATTTTGTTTAATAGACATAAGAAAAAATTAGACGTGCGACAAGAACAAAAATAGTTTTGATCGCGTATATAAAATTTGTATAAGAACCCAGATATAATCTCAGAATTCGACAAATTTTTATCCTCCCTCTCATTTTCCACAGCCTTCGGCGCCACGTTTTCCCGATTGATCTGTCTAGTTATAATTACTCCTGCAAAATTGAAGCAGTTTACTCAGTGATCTATTTATATATGTCTTTTTGTTTAAATAAAAAATATTTTGGTACGTGTATCACGGGAGAGCATGAAGAGCAGTACGCGGATACCACAGTGCATCATTCTTTCGAATAAGCGCCATTTACACTTTTTAGTCAAGCTTTTGTATGAGGAATCGAAATAGATTTTATCTATCAAAACATAGTTCATTTTGTTTAGATTTGTGCTCTTCCGAATGATCCATAGCATGAATTCTTAGAGAGAATGCTACAGACAATTCTTAAGGGGGGTCCGCCTTTCAGATTTGTTTGAAACTTTGCCAGATTGTAGAGGACACTTCAAAATATATATGAAAAAAATTTGGAGGTTTACGGATTTGTAGTTTACGACAAAAAAAAAGTTTTGATCTTTTTCAGTCTTTTTTTGCCATTTTTTTAAATATATATAAAATTTTTACTTTTTAGTTTGAAACCTCGGTTTTGTAACCAGTCGACAGAACGTCTCAAGATGTATATTTGAAAAGACTGTCGTCGTTCCCGGACAAGGTTTGGTGGAGAAATTCGCATTTGACCTTCAGAATGGGTTTTGGGGGCCAAAACTTTTCGAGATCTTGCCTCTAGTTTTTCAGCGGGGAAGCATTTTAGAGTGGAAACGTGAATGTAGAAGTTGTTTATCATGTTTTCTATGGGGTCATACTTTCCTGTCGCTAAATTTCTTAATGTCAATCTTTAGAATTGAAAATACCGAGACGCTGCAATGCGGAGAAAAGGCGATCAAATTTTGACGATGCTTTCTCTTTTCTTCAGAAAAGCGTCGAGAAAATTTGAAACTCATAGAACATGGATATTTTTACATACGCAATCGAATGGAAGTGTCAAGTGTCCGAAAAAATACAGATTTTTAGGATCGGTTTTCGGAGTACTGGAGCGCAAAATCGTCCAGGATCTTGAACAGCGGCTAGCTGGTCACACTTTTGTTCCGTAATGCTTTCCTAAAGCGAAACGCTGCCCAAGGCTTTCACAAAAATACTTTTTGTGCTAGAAATGGTATGGGCAAGTCAAAGTCACATTTCTCCGTCATACTTCACCCAATAATGATGAAAATTGTCTGCATTATGGATCTCAATGTGCTCTCTCCAACAGCGAAAGATTCAAGGTTCCATCTCGAAAAATGAAATATTTATGGAAATTTTAAAAATCCGGCAAAAAACCTATGCGGAACTTAATAAATATTGTTTAAAAACTACGGATTTCGAAACCGAAAAACGTCTTGAAATATATGTTTTAAAGTGTGCTCTACAAACAGGTCGAAAAAATGGGTGAGAGAAAATATTTTTAAACGAAGTATTGACCTATTTTTATTTTTGTGCATTGTAAATGATCAGAGATTTTACGATAATGGTTATTTTTTCACCGTTAGGTAATTAAGGCTACTGCGTTAATGTATGTTCATGCAGCTACCCGATTAGTCTCACATTTCGACTCATGCATTATGGTTGCGTTACTTTTCTCCTTAAATTTCTCGCGCTGATATGTAAATTTTCGTCGCGCAGTAATCGTAGATTGTTTTTTCTTTGTTCATTCGATTCATTCACATTCTTAAAGCAGTTTGAGACAAAAAACGCCAGAGGAACATTCCGACTCACGGTATAAGGGGGACAGGAAAGAACTCAATTCTTTTATTATAAAACAAAATGATCCTTGTCTCACCAAATTTCTTAGCTTATCCGAGTTCGTACTAGCTTTCGTTAAATATTTTAGCATCATGTGCGATGTGCACATGGATAAAAGACAAGAATTGACAGCCTATTTGGTGTTTATGGTGAAATTTGCCTCCACCTACGTACGCTACTTCCCTGTTTTACGAGTATCATAAGCAATTCATGCAAAAAGTGCAGCCATTTTTGCACACTCGCGGTATTAAACCAGACTGCTCGAAGCGAGAGGATGGTTTGTATCTAGCTATTGTTGCCGGGCGACAAGGACGCGCGTGTAGACGATGTCATGGGGTGGATCATTCGACCGAATTCTGTCCGATTCTCTTTCCAACAGATGTAAATTCCTTAGCCGGAGGAATAATAACAACACCAATCACACCGAATCCGAATACATCAGGTAGTTTTCTACGACGCGAACCTGTCTATGTGGCCGATGGTTCACACAAGAACAAATTGTCCGATGAGATTTCAAAATTCGTTTCAAAGTCAAACTCCAGCATTAAACGCGTCACTCGACGCACTGGCTTCAGGCATTTAAGTGAACTACGCGACTTCTCACGTCGTTTATAAAAGAGAGAGTTTTATTTCTAAAGAACAGAATAGTGTAGTTTAATTTTACACTTACAGTATGATTGGAAAGTAAAGCCACAACGCAGATTAACATTGAGTTACTCGAATCTATGTTACGCGATCACCAAGACAGAAGTTTTGTTAATTACCTTATGACAGACCTGAGAGAAGGTTTTCATACTCGCGTTTGTACATTGCCAAACATCAGTTACGAAGCCCCTAATTTGCGATCAGCCAGAAATGACCCGGTCACCGTTACTCGATTACTCGACACAGAACTGCGAAAAGGATTTCTCATCGGGCCTTTCGAAAGTCCTCCATTTTCCAAATTTCATATTAGCCCATTGGGTTTATTGTATCACAAATATAACAAATCGATTGATACTTGACTTATCATCTCCGCGTTCTTATTCGCTTATTCCCAGTATGAATGACCTAATTGATGGCGGTGAATGTTCAATGCAGTATACCACTATTGATGAGGCTATTTCGAGAATAATGACCACTGAGAGAGGATCGTTATTATGCAAACTGGACATTAAGGATGCTTTCAAATTGATTCCTATTCATCCCACGCTCTGGCCTTTTTATGGGTGCAAATGGGAAGCCAGTTATTACTTTTTCGTCCGTCTTCCATTCGATAGCAGAAGCAGCCCACAAATTTTCGATACCCTTTCTCACGCGCTGTGCTGGATTTTAAAAACTCAGTATTCCATCCCATACATTCAGCACCTTTTGGAGGATTTTTTGACGGCGGATATGCCTGATAGTGAAGGACTAAGGACAATAGCTATTTTGATCACAGTGTTCAAACGTCTCAACGTTCCTATCTCTCCAGATAAAACTGTGGGACTCGAGACAACGTCAGAGTATTTGGGACTTGTTCTCGGCACGCTTTCGTTTGAAACACGATTACCGCAAGAGAAGGTCGATAGAATGAAAGCGATGATCAGTCGAGAACGGAGTCATGAGTTACTCAGAGGGAATTATTATAATTATTAGGACATTTTGTCAATGCTACCAAGGTCATTCTTCCAGGTCGGTCATTCATGTCATTTTTGTTTCGTCTATCTACAACAGTTACACAGCTGCATCATCACCTGAGATTAAGTCGCGAGGCAAGATTAGATTTAGATATGCAGAGCAGTTTTCTTCAAAACTGGAATACAAGGTCATTATTTCTTGAACTTTCGACAATATCGAATGCCAATCTCGAAATATTTCCCGCCCCTTCTGGAAGTATCGGGTATGGGGCGATTTTTCAGGACAGGTGGTTTTCGGCACCTGGGACGTAGATTTCTTGCGTATAGCACAGAACATGCGAGAAAGTGCATTAATTGAGTTATTTCCAGTCATCGCAGTTGCATTCATATGGGGCAGTTTGTGGCAAAGGAAACGAATCGTGTTCTGCTGTGATAATGAGCCATTGATTTATATTCTGAATAAGGGTCGTTCTCAGTGCCCCTGATCATGCGCTTTATTAGTCGTCTAACATTACTCTCGATGTACCATAGTTTCTATGTAACGGCTGAACGCATACCTGGCATTCATAACTGTATTTCTGATGCACTTTCACGTCAACAACTGCACAAGTTTAGACAA